AAAAAAAAAAAACCAAAAAAAAAAAAAAAAAAAAAAAAAAAAAAAATAGATCCATGTAAAGTCACATCAGAGTGAAATTTCAAGACAGTGGGGAAAAAGAGAAGATTCCCTGAGCTTCCAGAAAGAGGGAAGAAAAACAAGCCATATAGAAAAACTCATAGTCAAATAGCCTTAGACTTCTCAACAACTTTGGACTCTAGGAAACAATATTTTCTTTCAAAATTCTGAGTAGAAAATGTTTACAATTCATAAGTCTACACACAGCCAAACTGTCAAGTAAGTATAAGTATATAATAAACACATTTTCAAAAGTGTCTCAAAAAATTTACCTCCTACATATCTTTCTCTCAGCCACCTGATGCTGTGCTCCATTAAAATGAAATGAGATTAATCCATTACAGAGGAAAATGTGGGATGCAGAAAACGAGATCCAACATAGGTGAGATGCGGATGAAGACTCCAGGGTATAATAGAAATTTCAGTATGAAAACTATACATTAGGTATAGAGGTCAACCATTCCAGATTGGAGCACTTTGAAGGCTATCATCATTTCTGCCTTCTTTAATTCTACTGAGTTTTTATCTTAACAAAGCTACTTGAGGATGTACTCCACCAAAACAAAGGAGAAAACCAAGAGGAAGAGATGAGAACCAGAAAACCAGAAGTCAAACTTAAGACAAAAGCTGAGGAAATTTCGTAAGATGGAAGCAAAAGGAAGTCTCAGGATGACAGCTGTGCAGAAGGCCTAGAAAGCAACCAGTGCTAACAGAAGAGAATGAAGGTATCAGGGAGGTAAGCAAGCAAGAAAACAATTAGAACTGGCAGGCTACCTAATTGGGCAGGTCTGGCAGGAAAACTACAATGAAAGGCATTGGGAGAGTGTGGCAAAACTGAGCAAATGACAAGCACAAAGAAAATTAAGCACTTTAGTAAACAAGGCAATTATTATAAGTTCAAGAAAACCAAAAATTTGGAAAAGCAGGGTAATCAGAGTGTACCACAGTGTGTGACTGTGAATAGTAATTACATGGGCATAATCAAATAAACACTGGATATCATGTATTTCGTAAAACATTGAGATATGTATATTTTGGAAGGGTTGGAGGAAGGGGAACAGATGACAGTCCAAGAGTGATTGGTCTTCATCTACTGCAATGGAAGACAATAGTTAATGTCAAAAGTTGATTTATAGTCATTATGGAAAAACAGTACGGCAGTTTCTCAAAAAACTAAAAATAGAAATACCATATGACCCAGCAACCCCACTACTGGGTATTTATCCAATAAGGAAGGAAATTAGTATATTGAAGAAATAACCACACCCTCATGTTCATTGCAGCTCTATTCACAATAGTCAAGACATGGAACCAACTTAAATGTACACCAGCATATGAATGGATAAGGAAAACGTGGTATATATACACCATCAAATACTGTTCATCCATAAAAAAGAATGAAATTCTGTCAACTGAAGCAACACGACTGAGCCTGGAGGACATTATGTTACATGAAATAAATCAGGTACAGAAAGAGAAATACCACATGCTGCCATTCATATGTGGGAGCTAAAAATTGAGCTCATAGAAGTAGATAGTAGAATAAAGATTATTAGAGACTGAGAAGAGGCGAGAGAGGAGGTTGGGGAGAGGCTGGTTAACAGATACAAAAGTACTATACAGCTATATAGGAGGAATACATTCCAGTGTTTTGTAGCACTGGAGGTAAATATGGTTACCAAAAATTTAGTGCATATTTTCAATAATCTAGAAGAGAGGATTTTGAATGGGCACAACACAAATGATAAATATTCCAGGTGCTAGATATCCTAACTTTCCTGATCTGATCATTGCTCATTATACACATGCATCAAAATATCACTCTGTATCCTGTGAATGTATATAATGTGTCAACTAAAAATAAAATTTAAAAAGTTAATTAATAAAAATATAGCAACGCTGGACTCATGGCTCACATCTGTAATCCTAGCACTTTGTGAAGCCAAGTCCGGGGAACGGAACTAGCCGCTTTTTCATGGAGCACCATTTTGTTTTAGAGAATGACTGACAGGAAGATATTAATATTCAGACTTGAGTATTTGGCAGTCATTTTCTTGAAAATGAATGAAGTGAGCCTGTCTTGACCTTCAGGAAAGCAACTGAAGTATTTGTGCCAGTGTAAAATTAGAGCTTTCAAGAGGAAAATTAGAGATTTGGAAGAAATTGTGTCCGCCACCATGAGCTTGACCATGATAATTCAAGATTTTTATGATGAGATTGGAGGTGAAGTAAGCTAATGTGACTTTTGTTGTTGTCTGATGTTGTCAGCATTTGGCTATCTGCATAACTAAATGAACTATTTGCCAAAGAACCAAAGCATGAAGTTACAAGATCATGCATAAATACAAGAGCCAGTCAAATGCAAGACAGACCAATGATTTCTAATATAACAGTTTGAAAAGTTTACTGATATGGTTACAGATTCCACACTGCAACTGGCCTTTTGAGGAATTACCAGTCACTATGTTTTAGTATAGAATCAAAACAGGATAGCCACAATTATCTAAAAAGGCTCATGAAATACTCCTCACTTTTCCAACTACGTATCTATAAGACTGGATTTTTTCCTTATATTTCAACAAAAAGAACATATTGCAACAGATCGAGTTCAGAAACACATATGAGAATCCACACCTATCTGTTCTATCTGTTCTATCCATATCTATCTGTTCTATCAAGCCAAACATGAAGCAGATTTGTAAAATATTAAATAATGCCACTCTTCTTGTAATTTTAAAAATGTAGTTATTTTTTATAAAAATATGTTGTCTATATTAACCTATAATGGACTTACTATTGTTATTTTAAAATCAATTTAGAAATATTTTTAAATTTTCTCTATTTTACTTTCTAGTAAAGGATATATCAATAGTTATCCCAGATAAACAAAAGCTCTTCAATGTCTTCTATAATTTTTAAGATTATGAAGGGGTTCTAGGCCAAAAAATGAGTTTGGAAACCACTAACTTAAGCCTTCTGACTGCCCTTGTGGACAATGGCTACAAATATTCAGAATGTGACTCTAGGATTCTGAGAGCTGCCACCTGAAGATTTTTTTAATAGAGGAGAAAAGCAGATTTAGGATTTTCAGATCCTTTTTTCTTTTAATTAAAAAAAATTAAAATAGAGATGAGGTCTCACTATATTGCCCAGGCTGGTCTGGAACTCCTGAGCTCAATTGATCCACCTACCTCAGCCTCCCAAGACTGGGATTACAGGCATGAGCCACCATGCCTGGCCTCAAAATTCTTAATATCATAGGTGTTTTAGTCCATTCAGGGTGCTATAACAAATTACCATAAGCCAAGCATCTTATAAACAGCAGAAATTTATTTCTCAAGGTTCTGGAGACTGGGAAGTCCAAGATCAAGGTGTCGGTAGATTTGGAGTTTGATGAGGACCTACTTTCCCGTTCACAGATGGCATCTTCTTGCCACGTCCTCACATAGTTGAAGGGGTGAGGAGGCTTTTATATAAGGGCACTAATCCCATTCATGACGCTTCCATGATATAATCACCTTCCAAAGACTCCACCTCTTAATATCACCTCCTTGGGGTTAGGATTTTAATTTGAATCTGGGAGGGACACAACATTCAGACCATAGCACTGAGTCAAACAATTCTTCATTAACTTCCATTTAGATTATTGGCTAAATAGTGTTTGCTGAACAAGAAGCTCCTTGTCTGAATCTGTTTCTTCACCTGTAAAAGGGAAATAAGATTTCTTTCTTAATCAAGCTTTAATGTTCTTACTGTAATGAAAGCAGAAAGCAATCATGCCTTGAAATATTTCTACCACAATTTAATTATTCATCTCTAGTCTCTTGCAGTATTTCTTGTCTGCTGATATGGGTAATTATCTCTTCTAGTCAAATTAAATGTGTGGTTTTATTTTTAATTACTCCAGGGTGTTAGAAGAATTAATTAGTAAGTGTTGGCCAACTACCTTGAAGATGAAAAGTACTATGTAATTATCCCCATGGGAAAAATGCTTTTCAAGCACTTGGCTGAATTCACTACTTAGGTTTATGGGATTAAATGTTAACCTTAAGGACTTCTGGTATGAATGCGATAACATAGATTCAGCATCTTTCTTCTTTTTTAAATGCTACAAAACCAACAAAAATGGTAAACTTATCTTCAGCAAATTTAGGAGCAGGTATAATCCACAGCCTTCAAAATATGAATCGGGACTGCTAAGAGCAGCTAAGATTAGACAGAAGCCATATAGGAGAAGCTGGCAAAGAGCTATGATGCAGCAGCAGAATCAGAAAGCATCAGTAAACAAGATTCCTAAAGTGAGGGACTCACCATGTAGTGCAAATGTGTAGTTTCTTATCAATGGATTTGGGTGAGCAGACCTGGTGGCACTGAAGTCTTCCTAGAACCTGGTTTATTTCAGAGGAGCAAAAGATATTGGCTACACGATTTAAAAGGAGGGGCCATCTGAATTGTTTTGTTAGGGCTACCATAACAAAAGACCACAAACTGGATGGATTAAACAACATACGTATTGTCTCGTAGTTCTGGCAACCAGAAGTTCCTGATCAAAGTATTTGCTGGGTTAGTTTCTTTTGAAAGCTTCGAGGAAGATCTGTTCCTTTCTTTTGTGTAGCTTCTGGTACTTTGCTGGCAATATTTGGCATTTCTTAAATTGCAGAAGCATCTCTGCCTTCATCTTCACGTGGTGTTCTCCATGTGTGTGTGTGTCTGTACACAAATTAACCCCTTTTATAAAGACACTAGTCATATTGGATTAGGGCCCATCCTAATGACCTCACCTTAACTTAGATAATTACATCTTCAACAATCCTATTTCCAAATTAGGTCCCATTCTGAGGTACTAGGGGTTAGTACTTTGAGGGCAATAGGACACATTTCAACTCATAACACAGTCTATCCAGGAAGGACTCTGGATATATTGGAGCAAATCAATCTTTGCTACCATAGCAGAAGTAAAAGCCTTTGGACAGCAAAACTTGAAGGACTACCTTCAGCCTCCCCAACAAAGCTCAATCACTGTATTTTAAAGTAACCTGAAGTCATTCTCTTCTGTGTGGTTATGTCATCAACCGGATATACAGTGACATTTGTTTGACTGTTTCTTCAACTTTTTAGGACTGCTTATTTCATTTTGATGTATTTATTTTTTGTAATTAGGTAAAACTTTGCTATGTTTCCAAAGTCAAATCTATAAAACAAAATTCAATTAACCCTTGAACCACACAGGTTTGAACTGCATAAATCCACTTATATGCAGATTTTCTTCTGCCTCTGCAAACCCCCGAGACAGCAAGACCAACCCCTCATCTTTTTCCTCCCCAGCCTACTCAAGATGAAGATGGCAAAGATAAAGACCTTTATGATGATCCACTTTCACTTGATGAATAGTACATACATTTTCTCTTTATGATTTTTTTTTTTTTGAGATAGGGTCTCACTTTGTCAGCCATGCTGGAGTGCGGTGGTGCAATCCCAGCTCACTGCAGTCTCAAACTCACAGGTTCAAGCAATCTTCTCACCTCAAGCCCTCAAGTAGCTGGAACTACTGGCGCATGCCACCACACCCGGCTAATTTGTGTATTTTTTGGAGGGAAGTGGTTTCACCGTGTTGCCCAGGCTCATCTCAAACTCCTGAGCTTAGGCAATCTACCAACCTCGGCCTATGATTTTCTTAATAACATTTTGTTTTCTCTAGCTTACTTTATTGTAAGAATGCAATATATAATACATATACAAAATCTGTGTTCATCAACTGCTTATGTTACCAGTAAGGCTCCCAGTCAACAGTAGATTTTTAGTAGTTACTTATTGGGGGAATCAAATGTTATATGCAGATTTTGACAGCTGTGGGGGCAGTTTCCCTATCCCTGAGTTGTTCAGTGGCCAACTACACATTCGGAGGCATCCGGTTTTTATCTCTGTCCCCTCTAAACTGTTTTCTCCTTCTCCTATAGACATTTTTTAAATTAAAAAGAATTTTAAGCCAGGTGCAGTGGTTCACACATATAATCCCAGCATTGATGCCAAGGCAGGAGGATTGCTTGAGCCCAGGAGTTTGACACCAGCCTGGGCAACATAGCGAGACTCCATCTCTATGAAAACAAAATAAATTAACTGGGTATAGGGGTACACGCTGAGCCCAGGAGGTCAAGGATGCAATGAGCCATGATCATGCTGGTGCACTCTAGCCTGGGCAACAAAGCAAAGCCCTGTCTCAAAAAAGAAAATAAAAAAGAACTCGAAGCATTTGTGTTCTTATGTTCATATTACTCCTGTTTCTGAGATAAATAGTTGCATATAAATGTTGCATACTCAGATTTTATCCACCTTGCTTTCTTTAATGATATCTTCCAGAGATCACCCCACAGTAGTAAATATGCTCGTTCCTTTGTATTGCTGCATAGTAGTCCCTTGTATGAATGCACCATAGTTGATTCAAACAGTCTTTTATTGATGGATTTTGTGTGTTTGTTGCCAGATTTTTGCTATTACAAATAACGCTACGTGAATATTATTGCATATGTATTTTTGTCAGTATGTCTTTGGATTCCCTCTTCTCTATTGTCACCAAGTGTTGAAAAATATGACCTGATACCTTCAGCTGGCTCTGTTCCCACCGCCATTAGATCTTCGGTTTCTTTCATCCCTAGTGTCCCTGTTCTGCTCAACCTGGATTCTATTCCCAGCAATTCTCTTTAGTGTGGGCCTTTGTCTTGGAAGGGATCTGGGGTTGGTTGGTTTGAGAGTTCACAGGGCTTAGGTTGCCCCAGCACTCTCCAACCTTACCCACCATGCTTATCTGCATGTGCCCACAGATCGGAGCTCACAAAGCTCCTTCCAGTTTGGGCTGCTGTTCTAGGGGTGACCTGCTGAGCTTCCTGTGAGTATCTGTTGGTGAGTTCCGGCTCTCCAACTGGCAGGGCAATGAGCAGTCTCTAGACTTTCCTCTGCTTCCCCTGCAAGGTAACCGATATTGCCCAGGTCTTGCTGATCTCAGAGACAGGCCCACTTGCTTGTGTTTCAGGGTCCACAGGAATATTTTGTGCCTAGTTTTGTTGATTACATCATCAATGGGTTCTTTGGTTTTCCTCATAATGTCACTCTAAATTAGAAAAATGCCAATTAAAGCTCAATCAAAAATATATAGGAAATCTTTGTATATTCTTACACATTTTGTCAGATTTAAACTGTGCTAACCTACCCTGTATTAGCCTGACAGACTCCATCTTGCTGAGAGCCAGACAGACTCCATCTTAAACCCTGCCTCACCTCTCCTGCCATTTCTCCCTTGAGTGCATACCTGGGTCATGCTACTGTGCTGGGTCATGCTGTGCTTAGAACTAGAGAGGCATATAACCATTATAACCATATCCTGCTTGGCAAGCCCACTTGCTATTGTGAATACCCCTTTGATTGATTATATGGCAAGTACCAAATATACCTCTTGGTAACCAGCAATCATGGGAACTGCTTGTGTATACCCTCCTTAGTAATCAACAATCATGGGAACCTCCTGCCTCCTAGTTACCAGCCTCCTTATCTAACTTGCTTGTTCTGCTTCTATAAATTCTGCTTCAGCTAGGCTCCCCCTCCCCTATGTTAAGCAAGATATAAAAAGTAATCAAGCCCCTTCTTCAGGGCTGAGAGATTTTTTGAGCATAAGCTGACTCTCGGTTGCCGGCAATAAAGGACTCTCAATTGGAACTCAGAGTATGGTGCTTCCCTTCCAACTTGCTTGGGTACAACAAAATTACATCAAAATTTAAAATTACTAATAAAAATTAAATTTCAAACCATTTTTGACTTCGCAGTGTGGCAAAACTCCAAAAGTTTGATACACAGGCTCTTGACAAGGCTGTGCAAAACAATCACTCACATACATGGCTAGTGAGATCACAAACTGGCACAACTTCTATGGAAGGCCATTTTGAAAAATAGAACCGATTTTAAATGTATTCACAACTCTGGACCCAGCAATACAAATTCCAGGAGTTTATCCTATGGATGTACTTGCATCTATGTCAGATGGTGAGATGATATATGAACACTGTCACTCACTGCAGCAGTGTTACTAATAGCAAAAGTGTGGAGGCAATTCACATGTCCACCAATAGGGACTGGTTTAATAAATTATTTCACATCATTTTAATGGAAAGAATGAAGAAGCTGTCTGTATAAGCAGAAACAGAAAGATCCCTAAGATGATATTGTTTAAAAAGATACAGAACGATGTATACATTTCATTTTATAATAGCAAATGAGATAATAAAATATAAATTCATATTTATATAGATTTGCTATATTAGTCAGGGTTCTCTAGAAGGACAGAACTAATAGGATAAATGGTAAAGGGGGGATTATTAAGAAGTATTGACTCACACGATCACCAGGTAAGTTCCCAGAATAGGCTGTCTACAAGCTGAAGAGCAAAGAGGCCAGTCCAAGTCCCAAAGCTGAAGAACTTGGAGTCTAACGTCCTGGGGCAGGAAGCATCCAGCATGGGAGAAAGATGTAGGCTGGAAGACTAAACTAGTCTAGTCTTTTCACTTGCTTCTGCCTGCTTTTATTCTGGCCATTCTGGCAGCTGATTAGATGGTGCCTACTCAGATTGAGGGTGGGTCTGCCTTTCCCAGTCCACTGACTCAAATGCTAATGTCCTTTGGCAACACCCTCACAGACACACCCAGGATCAATACTTT